ACACTAAAACACTATCGGCCTGGTAATTGCCCTGTCTTGACTTTTATCAGAATTATAACAACCTTTTTTTCCTATACTATGAAAAATGTGTGCATACAGTAGAAACAAATGTGAAATTTAAAATATCCATGGCATTTGAAAGAGTTAGACTGTCCAGTGTTGTTATTTGTCATAAGGTCTAACTATTTTATCTTTGTTCACTGATTTTTACAGCTATTTATCTGATATTTTTTATTTGAACACTGAATATTTGATTCTTTCACAAAATGTTTAAACCCCAGCTCATTTGACTCTTCTCATATACAAATCTGGAAGACAACTGGGGACCAGCATAGATAAGCAGTCCTGCGGGTGTTTAGTAAGCTTAAAACCCTTGTCTGAGAAGTATATTTAAGACCTCCATGTTACAAGCTCATCTTGGATTCAAGGCTGAGGAATTTCACTTAATACATTCTTCTGGCATCATAAGATAGCTTTGAAATTTTGACTGTATCATTTTGGCTTTCAAAATATTCATACACATTTTAAATGTATTTTAATTCTCTTTCTAGTTACTGAATTAAAAAATGCAAGAGAGCAGTATCTGTCTCTTGTGGGAAAAAAAATATAATTGTTTAATGTTTTGGAAGAGCTAGTATAAACTAGAGAAACAGGAAAAATCCCGGAGAAAAGGATTAAGGACCTAAAGCCTCTCTGTCCTTAAACTCTACTTGAAGGAGTAGCTTTGATCTGATCCCGATGAAGAAAGCTTCCTTCTCTGGCTCTGCATTTTGAGTTTTCATTCTCAGTCTCTGATCATCTTAAAAATAGCAAAGGCATACATGCAACTTCTATTCTGTGCAGTCAGAAAAGCAGAATCTAGACATGCATGAAAGAATGTACTGTAATTCTGGATTTCATTATGTGACACTAAACTGTGAAATGTAAGGATAAACTAGAAATACTGGCACAGCAGAAGTATTCATCACCTCCCAACGATGTCCTATTTTGTTGAAATACAAATTATACCTACACTTTTTTGCAAGATAATATTTTTATTCAAAACTGTAATTTTATGTTTTAATGGTAAAAAAATGTCAGCAAAAAATAGTAAAGAGAAAAGTAAAAATTGATAAATAAAATATCAGTCATTATCAGAAAACAGAAAAACAATCATTAAAATTTTTAACCAAAAATAAAATGATATACAAATATTTTTTCATGAGATGTTCCCCTATGACAGAGACTGAGTACAGATATATTTGCATCTCCTTCTTTTAATTAGTGCTATTTAAATGTTAGTCCAAAATGTGAAGACAACAGTCCTTAAGGTTTTATTTCCTACATTCCTGATGCACTTAGTAAGCTATTATACTTGCAAGAGGAGAACCTAAATGAATGCTCTTTTCTTCCTCTTCAAACCTGATATGACTGGTCAATACATGATGTTTAGCATAGTGGGTTTGTGGTACAGAAAAGCCAGTCTGACAGGTTCAGTCTGACATAATACAGCAAGGGAATTTCTGCTGATAGTATCGGTAGGTGTGGTAGCATTACAGTTTTAAAAGCTTTTCCACACAAGCTGTAATGAATCTGCTTCTTAAGAAATGTGAAAATGGGGTGTATAATAAGGGAAATGTATTGGAGGGAATGAGAGGGGATCCAAATTGAAATTCCCATTGATCAGAAAAAGGATCAGTTTGCACATTGTACTACAGATCTACAAAAAGACCAACATGGGGTATAAGAAATACATCAATGCTTGAATATTATTCCCATAATAATGTTCCCCATGTTGAACAGCATATATGGGCTCTATTTATTAAAGAACTAAAACATTAATAGTTTTAATAGTGTTGTTTTCAGCACATAATAGCTTAGTATCACTTTTAAGGAAAGCCTACATCTCATCTAACACAGAACAGTGTTATTCTAGGACTTCTAGGATTGTTTATTTAAGAACATACAACAGCACAGATATTTAAAATTATCTGACCAGAATTTTATTTTATAAGAATATTTTCTTGAACCCCTAATTTAAGAGAAAATAATTCATGAATAATTCACTACCCTTTCTTTGCACCGTTTCTTTATTAATCTGACACTTTTATCCATTTACTGTATATAGCTGAGCATTTCACTGAAGCAATCTGAGTGATCTACCTTGCTTAAAGTTACAACAGCACCGTACCCATCCAGGATCTGATCATACTGTACTTCCTTCTGGTGACCTAAAACCTTGCCACAACGCCTTCAGTGGCCAGCTAAGCCCCGCAGATAATCCAAGGTACTGTACAAGCCAAGCACTTACCTCTCTGCGAGCAGATGTTGGACCACTTGGACTTATCCTTGTGCTCCACTCTCGGGACTTCATGGGAGTACGTCTGAGGAGGTGTGGAGTTGTGGTAGTAAGGTGGATGTGAAGATCTGTCACAAGGCAGATGAGATTAATTTAAGTTTAGGATTCAGAGAAAGGTCAGATACATCTCCTGTTATAACTGAGGTTCAGCAATTTTGGTCAGTTAAAATAATTTGCAGGAAGCAGTCAAAATTTATACTATGTTTAGCAAATCTGTATTTATAGAAACTTTCGAAACCCGCAGAATGTAAAGAGACTGTCAACCACCAAGATTATGAGTAATCTTCAGATCAAAGGGAAGACCACATCGCCTTCCACACACCAGCAGAAGTAACTTAAAAATGAAAGCATAATTCATTTTATCCATGACAGTGTCACAGCCTCACTAGGCAAGCAATGGGTGCAAGGTGGGATACACCCTGGATGGGACGCCAGTCGAAGGTAGGGTAGATCCACAGACACAACACTCGCTCGCTCGCACACATACCAGGGCCAGTTTTCCCAGAAGCCAATTAATCAACCATTATGTCTTTGGACTGTTGGGGGAAACTGGAACACCCAGAGGACCCCAGTGCTGTGAGGCAGCAAGGCTAACAATGGCACCACTGTGCCACCCAGCAGATATAGTATACTTACCTGTAAAACAATAAATTGAAAATAACTCCACTACTGAAATACTACTGATACCTTGTCACACAAAGAATGTTTTAGTGTTTTAGCTGAATTATATGAACCCCTGCCTGAGAGCTATTTTCAGATCAAAAGTCCAGTAGCTGAGCACACTACATGTCAGGTCCATCAGGTTTCAGCAATACCCTTGGGCATTCATTAAATTGCAGGTTTGGACTGGAGAAGAAGTGCAGAAGAAGAGCAGAAATTAATAGGGTTCAGACCAGTCAAGAACCAGGAAAGGAAAAGTCGTTTGAAGGACTGATTTCCCAATTTAGAATTCAAGTCATGTGATATTACAGATACCTAATAGCACGTGCTTGTCCTACGCACAGCTGTATGCTACTGATGTTGGGAAATTAGGATCTGGGTAGCTGGTTAAATCTGTTCACAAGTGAGTTGGAAGTGGCACAGAGATGCTGACTCTGCAGAGTTCCATTACACTTTTCTTTACTGTGATGAACCTAGTAGTCTGCAATGTGTAGCAGGCATGTTAAGGAAAAATCAGCATTCCTGAATGGGTTTTTGTGATCATCACACTGCAGTGAAGCGTCACTCCGAGACAAGCTTCAATTACCTGAAAGTAAGAGCTAACCATGCATCTTAAAAACTTGTGTTTTTTAATTATTCTGGTGGAGCAAACAGATTTCTCAATATACATGATGTATTACTATACACAATTTAAACAACACCTCCCAGCCTTTGTGGTCTATCCACATTACCTGAAAGGAACATAACTTACTTGGTTACCTGTTTTGTACTCTTTATCTTCCAGTTCTGTTCATCCTTTTTTTGCTTGCATTTGGGAAGTTCGAGATAACATGTAAAGTTATTTAGGATATGCACACAGTTTTAAAACTTACATTTTGCCTACTTTCCAGGCCAGTGTTCCAGGTGGTGATGATGATGGTGACCAGAGTTGACAATCATCACTTTTCCTGTTCTTTTGTATATGAACAGGAAGAACTGATGGAGAATTCAAAATGGCTGGACTAAGATTCATTGAGTAATAGAATGGGTTTGAAGTCTAACGGTACGTTTCTTGCAATACATCCTGACCACTACTGACATATTTAATCAACCACTTACTGATTTTCCAAACCCTGACAGGATTACCCACCTGCTACTGGAATCAGACTTTCCATTCCGTGGATCTCTTCTGTCCCTGTGTACACGGTCGCCATTCCTGTCCCTCTGTCCTCTGCCTACTCGAGATGGTTGGCTCATAGCTGAATATCCCAAGTAAAGGTTGGAATTACCTCAGCTTTCTCCAAGACTGGGTTTTATTCAGACACGTCTTTGTTCCTGTAAAGAAACAGCTCAATTAAAATTAACATTCATGCTGTCGCCTAGTATTAAGCTTGTGGAATAAAATTGCTGCAACCTTTACACCATATACCTTTTTATCGATGTAGAGAGTGCACATGACAATCATTAACTACTATCATCTCCACAGAACTGTTCTAAAGTTTTGGGAATCAGCCATATCCAAAGTAAGAATTATGCATGCACAGTATTTTTGTAACTGCAAGAACATTATAATGAATTGACTCTAAGACTATTTGAGGAGTTTTTATAATTGGGTCCTGAAGTTTTGATGATACTTGACCTTTAAGAAATCCATGTAAGCACTTGGTCTGGTGATGACACAATATGGCACTAATTACACATCTAGTCAAAAGACCATTCAAAGGCTAAGCTTTTCTTTCACGTATTAAGAATTCCCATAAAATATATTCTGTATTATGCCCATTAAATTAAGCAAATGGCTGAAGTGAAATGTTTGTTACGTAAGGTCATATTTTGGATGGTCAATATTGCTTACAGTATACAATGGACTAATCAATTATGTACATATAATATGTTCCTAGTTAACCCCTTTTCACGCAATTGCTCTCATTTAGGACTCCCCAACTAAAACCATTACAGCAGATCAAAATACAAAATCATTATAAATAAATATTTTTTAAGTGATATGGAATTAATGGCAGGCCAACAGACCCACTACAATTTTGATAAAGTAGATCCATTAGTGGAAACAAAAAAGACCACCCCATGATGTTTAGTTCACCAACAGTGTCTGGAAGAATCTGTTTTATACAGTACAGTAGGTGCACATGGGTTCCCAGGAACAAGAAGTGAATGTACACAGGGTGCAATTTCAAAGTGATTTGCAATCATGTTACAATATAGCACAATACAAATTTTATTCGCTAGCATACAGAACTCAAACCAAGTACTTAACTAACATCTATGTTCAATTTGCCTTCTCATTCAACTAGGAAAGTTGCAGACTTTCAGGAATGGGTGGTAGTAGCTCAATTACAATCTCACCTTGCATCTAATGAGCTCTTTTTAATCAGGGTTTTAACACAGCAAAATGCATCCATAAATAAATAAGGTAATGATTTGCTGATTTTGTTTGACTATGTTAACTAAATATTCTTTCTAGATTTAGGATTCTGGATTTCTTCATTTTTTCACAGTATGAATCATGGCATCCTGCATCACATGGAAAATGATCAAATGATCACTATGACTTCCCTTTATTGGTCTGTCAGGACCAAGTTTGTGAATCCGACATTGTATAAGGTTCAGTACCAGCCTCTTGGTCAGATTATTCATGACATTTATTTGCAGACTAAATCAGTCTCTACTGATGCAGTCTCTAAATGTCACAGGATGCAAAAGACTGCTCTTAAAGTAAACCACGACAAGAATGGGGGTCATTCTTGCAAAGCTGGTGACTTCTGTATTGATTGACAGTGTCAAAGTAAGTGTTTGATGGACATTAAAAATTCTGGTGTTATTCCCATTAGGAAATATAATAATTCTTCACACTGCATAACATTACCATGCTAAAACCCTTGCACAAATAACCTGATGCTGAAATATAGATCCTTTTGTTTAAAGGTTAGAATACAGTACCATATACTGTAATATAAATAGTCTTACAGTGGCTACAATAGCTACAGTATGTCCAGGTTTGTGTTTTGTTTCAAGATGTCTCTGAATAGGCACATAACTCCCATCCTCTGTAAATTGCACTGGCTCTTTGAGACTTTGAGGTTCATCTGCTTTTGTATAAAGCCAGTGAAATGAAATATTTTTTGCATGATTATAGTCAAATCCCTTTTCTTTTAAAGATCGAGCACCAGGCTGCACAATAGGTCATTCTCCTGCAAAGCACAACATCTGGAGAACCCATTACCTAAATCCACTAGAGACTCTTACTGTTCACATTTTCAAAACATAGTTTGTGTGCTATTGTGTAGCACCTTGAAAATTACACATTACAAATCTCGATTCACATATCCAGCATCCACATTTTAGTAAGATGAGAACAAGACATGGATCAGAAAAGGTATCTGTCAATAAGATCCAGTGATAGTACCGCCAAAAATACAGTAATATTATGTTTTGACAACGAGTATGTACAGTAGTAGGCTCAATAACTGAATATTAATGTAATAGTCTACAAAGGTTTGATTGGATGATTAATAAGACATTCAGACAGTACAAGAAAAAAAGGCTTCAGACGAAGCTTCAGATTTCCGCATAGATCTATGCAGTAATTTCTCAGATAAGTGGTGTCAATAAAGAAAAAAAAGAACAAACACATGTATCACTAAGAGAAAACTCCAGCTCATACAAAACGGAAAATCAGAATTTAAATCGATAACAAGTGTAAAGTTAAACATAAACACGTCTGGAGCCACAGAAAAGGAGTGTGATAACTGGAAAGATACAACTTTAAAAAATGGTATTATCACGATGAACTGCAGGGTTTGTTTTCCAGGACATTTGTGAAACTGTTTCGGCTTCTCATCTAAAATAACAATGCAAGAAAAAAATTAAATAGTAATTTAATAGAATAACCACACTTTACCAATCTTATAAACAGCACAACACACGCTTGTAAACATGCAACATCGGAGTGTACAGCTCGCTTTCGCCCTTACCCATTGAACACCTGTGTTATTTGTTTACGCCCAATTCGCCAGACAATTTACTTCCCCTAACTAAATTCGCGTTTGACTTCGAAGGGTGAAGGAAATATGCCGTCGACACGCCATTAAAGCCTACCAGTTTTAAAACACCACCTGTACGACTTACCTGCTTAGTTATTCTTCAGGGCCAAAAACTTTTCACCGAGTTCCCGTGATTACCTGTGTCTCTGCAACTCCTCCCACTGTAGTAATGAAGAAGACTGGTGGGTGAGGGGCAGGTCAGTAGTGAGAATGCAGTGTCGGAGGAACAGGGAACTGTGCTGGGTAGCTGCCTGCTTCCCCAGCTTAATTAGCATGTACGACTAAAAACAACCCACTTGTTCAGAAAGATCACAATTTCCCATTGTTCTGATTGTCCGGCTTCAAGGATTCGTCTCTGGACTTCTCTAGATTTCTAGTTTTCACCACGGGCTCTGCTGAACAGCAACATTTTAAAAAGACCATATTTAATATTTGAATACTCAAGGATCTTAAAATGGGTTTCGAACTTTTGCCATTCATTCTCAAGTGATTCAACTAGGAGAGTCGTTCTAAATAAGTGTCTCATATAAATTGCAAGACAAAAAAGTAAATTCTGTTTAGAAATCCAAAATGGAGATTTGCACCTGTAAAATGTAGTGAGGATAGTTGAAGATTTTTTTTCAAAAAAGGTGCTGTTGTGCCTTCTTTATAGCTCCAGTTACATGCTGGGACCATGTTAAATCATTAGTAATGAAGGTACCCAGGAACTTGAAGCTGCTTACCCTCTCTACAGCCACCCTATTGATGTGAATAGGGGTATGGTCCCTGCCCCGCTTTCTAAAATCGACAACCAACTCTTTGGTTTTGCTGACGTTGAGGGAGAGATTATTGTCAATGTACCACTTCACCAGGTTCCTGACCTCACCCCTATAGGCTGTCTCATCATTATTTGTGATTCGGCCAATGATGGTAGTGTCAACAGGATATTTGTAGATGCAGTTGGAACTGTGTCTGGCCACACAATCGTGGGTAAGCAAGGAAAACAGCAGGGGGCTAAACACACAGCCCTGAGGGGCACCTATATGAATGGTCAGCATGGAAGAAAGCTTTCCATCGACCCTCACAGTCTGCCAGTCAGGAAGTCCAGAATCCAGCTGCATAGAGGTGCTGATGCCCAGGTCATTAAGCTTGCTGATTAGTCTGGATGGAACTATAGTATTAAAGGCAGAGCTGTAATCAATGAATAGCATTCTCACATACAGTATGTGTCTTTATCGTCCAATTGAGCCAAGTCAGTGTGAAGAGCCAGGGAAATAACATCACCAGCATTTGTGTCAGTTCCTTCTTCACTGCAAAATGAAAAAACACAGTTTGAGAGCCCAAGATTGCCAGAATCTTAAATGAGTTATCTTTACATTTAGCCTTTTATTGATTTTTTCTTTATATATTGTCGACTTAACACACAGAAACCTAAATGCTTTTTGATTACTTTATAAACCTACTGTAGATTATAAGTACAGTATGTTTCTTGTTAGCAGTACTATTACGTCTACTTCTGTGCATCGCTGGTGGATTAATATACACACCATAGTTGTAAATTTGAACTGATGTTGTAGTCATTAACATCCATAATCTATTGTATTTGTGAGTGTAGACCTTTTTGAAGCTCACCATTACTAAACTTGCGGTCTCTTCCTTGAAAAACCTAAGTAAATCAATAAGCAGAAACAACTAACGTGGTAGTTTTTGCAAATGGCCTTCAATTGAAATAGCCATTCCTTAAATTAGCATTCCTAGACTCCACTCACATTCTGTAATGGAAATGAAGAGTAATAGAATCTGAGAGAGACAAGAAGGTGCCTTCACATTGTATGCGAGTGTCATTCTAAATATTTTTGGCATATTTTTAAAACAAATATTTTATCCTAATGTGAAACTGTTTTGGTTATCCTGTGATAAAGAATATTCCCTTTTAGTCAGAGGGCTGCATGGCAGTGCAGTACGTAGCACTGCTGGCTTGCAGTGCTAGGGCCCTGGGTTCAGTTCCTGGGGTGCGATTTGCTATTAGATTTTATCAGTCATTTCACCTGACTATACAGTGCCATCCAGAAGTAGCAACAAAGTCAAAACTTTGCTTTAAAATCAAGAAATGACATTGACGTGAATGATAAGTACAATATCATATACATTTTTTACTGTAATTCTATCCACTGTATTATCCATTTGATTGTATTAGAACAAAACTATACGGTACGTTGTGTCGCTCCAAGTTTTGTCCAGTAAATTGAAGTAATGAGACACATTCACTTTAAATTTCAGAATACAAAGGTCAGTATTTGGTTTCATATCCTTTTGATGTGATAACTGCATTAAATCACCTGTTTTACTGTATTTCCAAATAGACTCTAATCTGACATTTCTGTTGACAGTGCTTTTAAGAGGTTTAGATCTTGCAGTATTGCATAGAGTATTGTCTTTGTAATTAACACAAAGGATTGTGATAATTTCACCCCTGCACTCTGAAGGTTGTTGATGACTTCGTAGACATTTTTTTTAGGGTTTTCTTTGACAACTCTACTTATTTTTTGTCTTCATCAAGGTTTTTTTTGTCAGCCAATTATTATCTCAATATTTGGAACAAAGAGGTTCAGGACTGGTAGAGTAAAATTGACTTTGGAACTGTACTCATTATTTTATCATGGAAAATAATTAATAGAGTATTATTATCACAGTTAAATTGTCAGGTTAGTCCAAAAATTTTAGGGGACAGTATATTTAACATGGGAGTTCATTTTTAAAGACAATAATGTGAAGTAATTTAAAGCATTTACTCATTTTAATTTCTCTGGGTATTTTAGTTCATCAACTAAATTCATAATAGAAACTAGATTTTAATACTTTATCAGCTATCTTTAATTCTTCGTCAGGTGCACTGAAATGAACGTAATGTACTATAATTATCTTATTGTAATATAATTGTTATTTATAGTTATTGTAATTATAAGTTACAAATTATAGTGACTTTTAATAACTGTTGTTACAAATCCGTTTCCCCAAAATAATTGCTTTACATCTATAATTATATTTATTAAAACTACTGCTCTAAACGTCCACAGGATGGCAGTATAATACCATAATCCTGTGTGAGCTCTAGTTGGTCTTTATTTTGTGTTTTTACCTAGGGTAAATAAGAAAAAAAATAAAATTGAGAAGTGTAGTTTTCTTAAATGAGTAGATGTCTTGAATGAAGTATCATTTGGAGCTCATACTAGTTTAGGCAGAAACTAGAAATTTGGGAACCTTTTAAGAGGAAGGTGCTTTTCACACCTTGAAACTAAAATTATTTTTTTTGAATTCTGAAGTGCTGTGAAATGAAAATATTTATCAGACATAGTCCCATAAAGCTGGAATCACAATTGTTGTCATTATCCATTTTAAATGTTTTTGAAGCCCTTTGTAAAAGCAAAAGCAAAAAAATTACCAACCAAGGTTTGTTTTTTCACTTTTTAATAACCCATTACTGATGTCTTATACACTTCATTTTTTCTTATTAATTCTGTTTTTTTTAATATCACATATGTAAAGTGCTACAGATTCTAAAGTACATTTTATATTATAGAACCACTGCACTAAATACCAACAGTTGGTTAATCTTAAAAACAGATCAGAGCAGCTGACAAGAACAGAGCACTAGAAATGACAGGAGAAACAATGACATAAATCTGATTTATTTTAAAGAAAATAAGGAGCATTTCCACTCAATAAAAGGTCACAGTGACACTGAAATAACTTCCCACAAAGTTTTTATCATAAGGACCTTCAGTTTAGTGAACTGCAGAAAGAAGAAGGGAAATAATTAGTCCTGTGTATTAAGTAGTAAGAAACTGGTATTCATGGGATAAAATTTCTGAATTGTTCTCTCTTGTCCACTATGCCGGACTTTTTTCATAAGCAGTTCATTTTCAGTCCCAGCAAACATTCCTGAAAGCCTGGTACACGGACAGGGTTTATGAAAGACAGCTTGCCCCTCTGTGGACATGCTTGTGTTTTTCCAAACAAATGGACCACTGGAAACACAACTGAGCAAGGTACTTCACCAGAAATATTCAATTGACATACCCAGCCATATAAATACATGCATATGTAAGCATGCATTATATGGAAATATATTGTTACAGCTATATGGGACTAAGAAGTGCCTCTAAGAGTTTAGTAACATCTAACAGTGTAAAAACATTTTAACTTAGAAGCAGAAGGGATGTTTGCTGATATGTAAGGAGTCCCCTGATCAAAAACAATTGGAAAGTTTACCTTGGTTTACCTAGTTAATTAAGTTGTGGTTAAATGATTGAAAATGAGCAGTCCAGAAACACACCATATAAGATCACATTAAGACCACTAAGAGAGAGAAGGGAGAGGAGATAGGAGGAGCTGGAATTTGAAGCTCGGGCCAGGCAAGAGCCTGGTAAGATCATCCAGACAAAAACCTGAAACAGAAAAAAGAAATAGCTGACATTTAAAACCGATTCACACCAGATACATTTAAAATACCTCAAAACTGCTGCATGAAATGGGTAACATTTGGGTAACTTTCTGAACACAGTGTTTGAAGGCAAGGCTTATGAAAAATACTGTAGATGAGCCCTGGGTCAGGGTTAGGTTTAAAACAACACCTAGACATTTTGTGAAGCATTTGCAGTGCTCTAGGATGCATTTGAAATGCAGGAAAGTGTTGCTGTGTTGTTTCCTCAACAAAGATATTTGGCCCAATTTTGGAGTTTTTGCTGAAGTGCACCAGTCAATCAAAAACGGTTAAAATTAAAAGCTTGAAAAATTAAAAGTTGGAATGTTGCAAACTCTTATATTTTGCATTTGAAGCCAGGCAAAATGAAGCAATTGTGAATTTTTTTTTTTCAGAGGAGCTACCCAGCTGATTTGTAAACCAACTTAATTAAGTCACTTAATAGAAATCAAAATTTCCTTCCAAGCCTAAGATTTCAAAAAGTTTTTTTTTAATCTATTTGTGTATGACTATCACTTGAAGAAAAATTCACAATCAAATTGTTTTGTTTGTTTTTTCAATGTGAAATTAAACTTTCTTTATTGTTCCATTATTTTTCC